ACTGCAACTATGGCCACGAGTGTTCCTTGATTTCCTTTTTCTTTTTCTTATTCTACTTTGGCTGCAACTATGGCCATGAGTGTTCCTTGATTTCCTTTTTCTTTTTCTGAAAAATATTCCCTCTTTTTGGTTGCCAAATCCATATTTCTGAATTCCTTTTACTTTTTTTCTAGGCTACCAGCCACAGGACGTCTGGGGCACCTTGTTTGCCCGGGCTGCCTGGCCGTCGAAGGACCAGTATTTTGCTTTGTCGGTGTGACAGCATTCTATCTCTTCTTCACGTCGCTAAATTCAGTTTTGAAGTTCGAAACTTTGAAGTCTGAACCGCTGATGTCAGGGTAAAACTACCACATTTAGTTGTGTCATTTATTCAGATATTTATTGACAGTCATTTGATCATATGTTCTAATTGATTATAACCAAACATTCAATTACTAATCAAATGTTAATCAATGATGAACATATCATGCAATGTCAGCAATTGTCAGGTTGATCATATATTTAATCAAATTATTCGATCAATAATTAGTGAATAACATGTTAACTTGTTAATCAATCATTGACATATCATTTCATTTCATGTCAGCCATTGTCAGGTCGATCATGTATCAATATGAAATTGTTAATCAATAACTAAAATGATATTATAATGTCAGCCTTTGTCAGGTTGATTTCTCAGTCAAATGCAACTCAACTTGATGGAAACATAGACCCAACAGCAAGATCCAGAAAAAAGTTAGAAGATCGAGAAACGTACCAGGAGCTCATCGTGATCGTCGAAATCATCATATCATCACTGTATGAAGAGATTCAGAATGCACGGTTTACCACGCACGCAAAACATAAACAAGAATGATATGCACACTTTGCTGTTAGGCTGAAGGATGCACACAAGGAACATTTAGGAAATGCATGGACAAGGAACATTTAGAAAATGCATTTAAAAAAAAAATCAGCCAGTACATCAGGCCTGGCGCCCAAGCCGCCTCTTGCAGCCGGATGACTGAACTGCACCAAGTCCCAGTGTTACATACTCCAATGAGTATGGGCAGAACCAAGAATCAACCAATATAGGATGAGTATTTATGCAGTGGAAGTCTGATAACGAACTGACTCACATAGACTGACTCACATAGACTGAC